ATTGAACACGGACAGCACAAAAGACAATGTTACATGTAAGGGCACGGCGACCGTTGTGTTGTACAGAGGTTTTCCTGCCAGAGGCTAATTTGCAAACCTGGTCCTTGGTTGGACTTTCAGACAATCAAATAACAGCATTTATAAAATATACCACCACACACACGCGCACACACACACACTTTTTTGTTACAGTTAATGTGTCCACGACACGTCACCCACATTGCCTGCTGGTGTTGGTCGGAGGGACTGGAGGTGTATAGCAGCCTTGCTCCTGTCAGTGTGCCCCAGGACAGCTGCAGCAGGTGAACATGTGTGTGCATACTTGTCTTTGTATGTTTAAGTGGACAAATTTAGACATTAACCTGTAATGTGTGGACATTTTAACATGGTGAGGATATTTTTCTGGTCCACACAACGCTAAGCACCCTAAAACCTGGCTTTCGAGGTATGGTGTGAAATAATTATTAGTTTAGGTCAGTGTGTGTGCGTGTGTGTGTGTGTGTGTGCGTGCGTGCGTGCGTGTGTGTGTGTGTGTGTGTGTGTGTGTGTGTGTTTGTATGAATGACTGGTGTGTTGTAAAGTACCTTGAGGGGGGACATTTGTCATGCTTCCTCCTTTTGGTATTGAATAATGTAAACGTTGACTAGATACTGCTTTCCTTCTGAGGCTCACTAAATAAATCCTGATTTACATCCAAATGATCTGAGTCACATCTCAGCACAATTGTTACCTTACAGGTTGTTTTTAGCATGCAAACAACTCCGGAGTAAAAGTTAATGATGTTAAAGAAATAATCAACTAGTGTCAGTAAAGTAAAACTTAACATCTGTCAGAGTTCATGTGTTCTGCTCTCACTGAATCCTCAGAGAAGCTTTAAGATGTAAAACGACTGCTTTAAATAAAAGGTATGAAATATTTTCTGAAGATGAACTTTTATGCTTCAAAATTGTTCTAAACATCTGCATTTCATGGGCAAATGTATGACAAATATATTTTGAGCAAAGCAACTCCGGCCTTTCATTGCTGTTGTAACATCAGCTTATCAGATAAGACACTGTGACAGTGCACCGTTTTCTTTATGGTTCAGCTTTAAAGCAGCTATATAAACCTAAAAAACAGAAGGTGGATTCACTGGAGAGGGAGGGAGACCAGACCGTAATGGTGAGTTCTGATCTGAGTCTTTATCTTCAGTCAGTCAGATTCAAACACCAGCTAACTGCTGGGAATTGATTTTTATATAGAAAGGTAATATTTACAGTTTTATTTTCACTATGAAAAAACTAAAAGCTCGGATTAATTCAGAAACGGTATCTTGTACAGTTTCAGTACATCCTTGTCCTAATCAAAAATTAAATCTAGCTATAATAACAACAAAATGTGTTTTTTCGAACACTTTTAACAAATCATTTGGGTTCTTTTTAAATGAACTGATAAGAAGGCAACATAATAAAAGTTGTGGATGAATTCAATTCAAATTTAAATTCAAAGATACTTTATTAATCCCAGAGGGAAATTAGAGTTTCAGTACACACAATTCTGAGATCAGACATGCATACATAGACACATGACAAGAATTGGTGACTGTGGTCATTCGCAACCTGAGTCGCGCTACCACAATTGATCAAGAGGGTTTATATGAGGATAGAGTCAGGGGGAGGGGAAAAAAGGCACTTCAGAGTTACCCTCAACAGAGAGGGCAGCTCTGCAATGCAAAAAAAAAAAAAACACCTCAGACAGATCTGCACACAGACTTCATACATTACACAACATAAGTGTCCACTAGGTGGGGAGGTACGTTTGGGACTCTCCTCACTTCAGTGCGTGCAGCTGCATGGAGCAGCGCTCATCACCTGTGTTTGGACAGGGGAGGGAGATAATGGGTTAGAGAGCACAGTGACTCCTAGATACGGTTCCACGGCCTTCACCGGTCACAGTCCCACCCAGGCTGGGATAGGGAGAAAGGGTTTCCATAGTGACGGTAGCTTTCTTCTGAGGGGGGAGTTTTCATTTCAGCCTCACAGGCTTCAAGCGCTCCAGATTCAGATAAGAATTGTTTTGGGGACAGACAGAGATAATTTCCTCTCTGCCTTAGAGTTTTGTTGGTCTTCAACCCCTCTAGATCCAACAATGGCGTAATTAATCTATCCCAATCCGTGCTGATCCGTCAACTCGCTCCTTGATGGAATCCACCTTTTGTGCCAGAGCCTGAATCTCAGCCAAAGTTCTAAGCTTACGACTCATCTCGACAATTATATGAGTTTGTGCATTCACAGCATGATGCATTCCATCCCTGAGCTCCGGGATTGAGCCAATATTCCCCGAAAGCTCGATAATTTTCTGGTAAGCCAGGTAACCGCTCAGGCCAAACAGCAGGAATCCCGACACCAAAACGACGAATATCCAGACATCTTCAGAATCCTCTACAGACAGTTGAGAGAGGCAGATCAGGTTCCACTGTTTCCAGGAGGTCATGACATACCCAACTGGCTCTGTCCCAGAGGGGCATCTGGGAGCCCCTTCTCCCGTTCTCATCGTTGAAGAAATTTTGTCAATCGCGTTGAGAGACCAACTGACCAGATCCATTTTTAATAATTTCCAGTTTCCAGAAAAAATGCAGAAAGCGCCGTGCATACAAAGACAGGACAAAGAGCTTTTGGATAAGGAGGGAGGGAGAGGAGAAAAAAAGCATCTGTACTCTCCATTAGTTATAGTTATAAGTAGGTCAAATGCATATAAACATAAATATGTCTCATTCGAATATTATGATTTGAAAACAAATAAATGAACGTGTAAAATAAAACTAAGTGAACTGTAATTCTTCAATGTAAAACAAAATAATTGATCTGAATTGTGAATTATTTGATTATCACTTTTTTTATAAATCCATCAAAACCTGTTGCACCAATTTTTAAGTATAACAAATAATTATTAATTATTATTATATTATTAATATCATCACATATGCATTTTCTGCATGTTTTGCTTTATGCTGAAAGTAAATAAAAATAGTTTACCAGCAGGAGTGGAACATATTTGAAAGCCGAGAAAACGTTTTTATGTTCAAAATAGTAATTCACTACAACATTTTCTTTTATTCTGTGGAGATCGATTTAACAGCATTTTGTTTATTTTTTTCCAGATGAAGTTGTTTGTGTTGCTGCTGCCGGCCCTACTGGCTCTCTCCTCTGCCTCACTGCGGGACATTGTAAAGAGGAGCCTCCATAATCAGAAAGGTAGACATGTTTCTATTTGAAAATGTCAAGAAGTCGTGTGAATAGAAACTCTGGATGCAGATAAGCAAAAAAGTCAAATGTGACTAAATTGAAATTTGACATGACACCAAATACAGACAGGAAAGAGCATTATTGATGATTCATAGCACAAAGCTAAGACAAGATAACACAACATAAGAGAGGCTTGAACCTTGGTATGGGCAACAACCTTAAACAGAGAACCAAGATAAGCTTACATGAAGTATAAAACCTTAAATACATCAAAAGGTCAATCAGAGCCTTACATTACAGCACAATCCTCCATAAAACCATCTTAATTTTTAAATGGGCCTGCACTAGGGGTTGCGTGACTTAATTTTTTTTAAAGTCGACAGTCAAGTAATGAAAATCGAGTCGACTTCGACTAGTCATTGATGACGTCATACACCTGAAGCGGCACGGGGGGTGGGGGGGTGGGGGGTGGGGGTGGGGGGGTCGGGTCGGTAGGTTCGCTGGAGTTTTTGACAATTAAAATTGCGCCCACATTTTCTAAGTTAACACATCTCTTTTAGCAACGGTAGTTTCTGCATCCTACTTCAGCCCTCTCCCCCCTCCTTCTGCGCAGCAGCAGCAAACTGATGCACCTGCAGCCTCTCGGAGTTCCTGCTGCTCTAAACATTAAAATAATTATTTCATTTTCTGTTCCTCACTTCTGATTACCTTCAATGGTGTCTGTTTGTTGCAACCACCAGGTACAAAAGCTAACTTGTTTTTATTTGACTGTTTTTCTGTCCTGTATGTTTATTATCTTCCTGCATCTCCTCTCAATCCTAAAGAAAAACTGCTACCTGGGTTCATATATATTCACCTTCTGAGTTACCTTTGAACTGCAGTTCTAAAAGATTTACCGACCGCAAAAACAGCGAAGTGCTCGCCGGCCACATCAGTTAGGTGAGTCACCGGAGGACAAAACAGGTGATGCGCCTCACTCCACAGCAGCGAAACGCATCAGGCACAAAGAAAAGACAGAAATCATTAAAGGAAATGAGCCAACATGAACGATTGCATGGTTAATTTGTTTTTGAGGTGGCGACACCTGATTTGATAATGTTACTGTGGCCGTGCTCAGGACGCAGATGTCTGGAGCGCGTCAACAATCAGAGCTTTGCCTTCGCAAGCTGGTTAAGGTTAGGATGGGGGTGAGGGGAAGGTAAAATTGCAAGAGGGAAAAGGTCACAGTTTGGTTAAATGTCCGTTTTACCGCCGGTGTCAGTACCGACGCTCTGGCACAGTGCGTCGCCTCCGCCTCCCGACGCGCAGGGGCTCTTCACCTGCTGTCTTTTCCGAGGACTGCATCTTGTCAGTCATTATCACGTGACAGCGACTAGTCGATGACAGGCATAAAAAGTCACTACAGAGCCGTGAAGTCAACTAGTCGACTAGTCGACTAGTTCATACAACCCCTAGCCTGCACTCAATAAAATTTGGCCAGATTATCGATTAGATATTATGTCAGTAAATCTGTAGTCTCTAGTCTGCATAAATGTCTCCCCCGTGGGAAAGAAGCTCTGGTGCTCCTGTTTCAGGAACTAGAAGTTAGCTGGAGGAGTGTGTGCACAAATCTTCAGAGATCAGGCAATAGTAAACATTGCATTGTGGAAGTTAGAAAACAAAATATTGGAAATAGAATCAGGATAAATTTCAGTAAAATTATTGTGGAAATGAACCCAAAACTTCTTTTAAGACGTAGATACTTTTTCTCAGCCACTTAAACTTTTTTCACATAGACCCTCCCTGAATTTGCTCTGTCAATTGTAGCAATAAAGATTGTGTCAGGACACCTTTAACAAAACCAGACACAGAAACAATAACCCATGTCATTGTTTGTTTTTTGTATTCATGCAGTTTCTTTGCTGAACCCAGAGCTGGAGGACCAGGTTCCTGAACTGGGTAGTAACAAGATTGTGTCAAGTCCTCTGACTCCGGAGGACCTGCTGCAGCAGCAAGACCTGCCTTCATCCTTCCTCTTCGGTGATAATGTGAACCTGGAGTGGCTGATCTGGGATGGATCTCTGCCTAACGGAGCCATTTCCATCTACAACAGCTACACCAAGCGCACCGACTACGTCTGCAAGTATAAGTGTGAAGCCGGCTTCTACAACCCCAACCTGGGCTCGTACTGCCGTTACCCGTATGGAAATCGAGAATATTACGCCTCCGAGTTTGAGATCCTGGCCAACAAAGACAACTTTGAGTTCTTGGAGTGGAAAGAAGGTTCCTATGGTTCTGTACCCCAACACTCAGTTAAAACCTGTGAAGGCACTGGCATCTATGTCGGGAAGAATAAGTATGGTCTTGGAAAGGTTGTTCCTCAGTTTGAAGCATTCTTCTTGCCCTGGGAAGGTGATGAGTACTGGTACAAGAAATATCAGGTCCTGAGCATTAACAGGGATGCCTACACCCAACACATCACTGATGTCAAGTATGCCATTGATGAGGTTGCCATCTTTCAGTATCCTCCTGAAACCATGCAGATCTCTGGAGTCACCAACAACGAGTGCCAGAGCATTGTGAAGAGGGTCACCATCTCCAAAACCTCAGAGGTGGAGACCACCTGGAACATCGGCCGAGGCACCATGCTGGGCATCACTGGCAGCATCACAGCCAAGATCCCCCTCATAGGCTCAGGGGGAATAGAGCTGAGTGGAGAGAAGACCCTGCAGTTCAACAGAGGAACCACCGTGGTGGAGTCCATCAGCCACTCTGTGTCAGTGGAGCTCACAGTCCCACCCAACCATATCTGCAGAGTCCGTATGGAGGGACGCAAGATCAAAGCCGACATCCCTTACACAGCTCGGCTCAGCAGAACGTACCTCAACGGGGAGACCCAATGGACCTCCATCTCTGGGACCTATGATGGAGTCAACATTGGAGAAGTCCGAGCCGTGGTGGACCGCTGTGAACCAGTAGCTGATGCCAAACCATGTCCTTAAGTAAACAATAAAAATCCCCCCCAAAAATAAAATTTTTGTGAATTCTTTGTTTTACTTTACATAATAAAAATACAGTAATTCTGTTACTTTGACTTTGTTCTAAATACATTTAATTCAACAGGAAGGCCAATTTTGGAGCTATATGTAAAATAGGTTATGTGTATGGAGTTATGTGTATACAGTATTCAGTGTTCAAACAAAAGTCAAATCAAATACCATTTTAAAACAAATGTCTTTTGTCTTTTAAATAGAAAAATTGTTAAAATAATAAAGATGATGAATTCTGCTTTGTGGGGCTAATTATCAGATAATTAATGCATTTAAGATTTTTTTTCCTGGGTTTAGGCCAATAAATGGACAGTAACTTTAAAATTGCGTCCAGAACAGGAATTAAAAAGATTATAAACATGGTCAATATTCACAAATGTTTTTTTGTGTGATGATTATTTTAATGTGTGAAAAATTAACGAGAAACAATAAGTCATTTCAGATTTTAAGTGACCTGCACTATAGAGCACTTTTCTGAGTCACAGGACTCGAAAGCTCTTTTACACTGCAGTGTATCATTCATCCATTCACTTACACACACATTCACTCGCTGATGGTGATGAGCTGCATCATAGCCACAGCTGCTTGGAGCACACTGACAGAGGTGAGGCTGCCGTACAGACACCACCGGTCTCTCTGACCACCGCCAGCACGCAGGGATGGTGTAGTGCCTTGCCCAGAGACACAACGGCAGAACTCCCTGGAGAGAGCTGGGATCGATCCAGCAATCCTCCTGAGCTCCTGCTGCTAAAAGTAAACTCCTAGAAGAAGAAAGTACCTTCAGGTAACTAGTATCCGTGTTAGGGGCGATGGTGGCAGACAGTGTCTGCCAGTAATCAAACACTGGAAATGTAAGATACTCTAGGAAGGTTCCACCTTTCTCATCTCTGGTTGGCTAGAAGGGCTCTCCTACGATTAGCTAATTAATTAAGGAACAAACTGTCTTCTCCCAAGTGCAGATTGTCCTCCAGTCACCAACAGAACAGCTGTTTAAAAGAGAAGAAAGTGTGAACTTGGTGATATAATAATCATTCCGTCCTGTTTTGCAGCGTACCAGTTTTCAGGTTATTTTATGAAAGAAGCTGAAAAAAATAAATTATGAACTTATAAAATTCTTGTTGGATTTATCACACTGTAACTTGGAGTATATCTGTTGGCTCTCAAGCACTGAGGTTATCTTATTAAAGAGGACTAATATACAATAACCTATCATTGGGGAGCCCTTCTAGCCAATAAGAGGAGAGAAAGGTGGGACCTTCCTCGCCCATTGTTCATTTTCAATGTTCGCACCCTGTAGCTGGAGGGTTGCAGGTTTGCATCCTGCCCAGTGTGTCACAGTTATTCTGTCCTTGAGCAAGACACTTCACCCTCCCTGCTTCCTGGTGGTGGTTTGAGGGATGGCGGCACCTGTGCTAAGCAGCCTCGCCTCTGTCAGTGAGCACCAGGACAGCTGAGGCTACGCTGTAGTTTATGTTTAAGTATTTAGCAGACGCTTTTGTCCAAAGCGACTTAAAGATGATAATCAAGCCAGCAGGTTGCCCTTGATGGCATTGGTGGCAGAGAGGCAGCATAATGAATAATAAAGGGAAGTGAACAAGGAGTGGACAGTAGAGTGGGGTACGGATGCTGGGAGGGTACTAGTTTAGATGTTCTCTGAAGAGCAGGGTCTTCAGGAGTTTTTTGAAAATCAACAAAGACACCCCTCTTCTGGTAGTGCTTGATGGGTCATTCTACATCTGTGGAACAACACATGAAAAGAGTTGGAAAGCGAAATTCCCCACTGTGGGATCAATAAAGTCTATTCTACTCTATCCTAACGGTAGCCAATGGAGCTCAGTGAACAGAGGGGTGACTTGTGCTCTTTTAGGCTGATTGATGACCAGACGCCCACTGCATTCTGGATCATTTGAAGGCCAAGAGTTAACTTCTTCATACAGGTCATGCCAATCTGACACCGGAGGTGTCGAGTATCCTTAACTTATCCTGTTCCATATCAGAAGACACCAAGATGCCCGTGAAGACGCAAGACTCTTTATCTAAACCTCTTTAATAAAATTATCTTTTCTGGCTCATAAAATGACTTTCTTAACATTACAATTTATTACAATCATATTCTGTGGTACCTAAATATGTTTTAAATCTAAAGGGTTTTAATAATGTGGTTGCTCTACAGTAATGAATGATGGGTTAACAAATGTTCATTCCTATGATGATTCCAGATCTTAAATGACACCAGATGAGTCTATTGGTTGACTTTAATAATGATTTGTTTATCAGTATATTCTCACATTATTAATATTATAACAAGTGTTAACATATTTCCTTCACAGTAATGTTTGACATGTATACTTCACCTTGAGGGAGACAACCTCCCTAAGTATTTGGGACAGGACTGGTGTCTGAGGTCTTTGATAACGTCCACTTTAAATTTGTCAAATTCTGATTTGTCCAAATTGCTAAACAATAGTTATTAAAAGAGAGTTAACTTCTTGAACGTTTCCATTCCAGCGAGCTGCCCGGTTTGGCCGACTGGGTCAGTAAAGCAAATGGAATCATCTTCCTTTTGACCTCAAGGTCAAACATTATTCGTAATTCTGCAGAGCTGCATCAGATGCAAACTTGATCTGGCCGCCATCATTCACCCGGAAGGTAACTCAGCCCAAACGGTTCGTATTTGACATGGAACTACCACAGAAGTCTTTCTACCAGCAGTCTGTCTGTCCCGGCTTCTCTGGACCCCTGGATAACCGGGAGCTTTCACCACAAGGGTCTGTAGATTCTTATAAATTGATTTTTATAAACTATATTTTGCCTCTGTTTCAAATCATTACAAAGTTTTGATTTCCCTGAAGGACCAAAAAGACCTTGTTTAATCTTGGATCAAATTTCAAAAGATCAATACTATTGATAATTCATATTTATATGGAAAATCATATCTTATTGATCATTTATTAGACGGAACCACTTACATCAGGCTGGAAGACCAGTTAGAAGGGCATTGCAGTAGTTGAGGTGGGAGATGACAGTAGATTGCACCATGAGCTGGGTGGCATATTGTGTTAGGTATAGTCTGATCTTTCGTATGGTATACAGCGCAAAATGGCTTGAATGAGCGACAGAGTCATAGTGGTCTTTAAAGGTCAGTTGGTCATCAATCACAACACCCAAATTTTGAACTGTTCTTGAAGGAGCCAGGGAAAGGGAATAAATTTGGATTGAGATATTGTGCCCTATGGATGGTTTTGCTGGGATGACAAGTAATTCAGTTTTTGAGAGTCAGAGAGACAATCCAAGATTTGTGCGGAGACTGTGTGGTCAACCGGCGGGAATGATAGATAGAGCTGGGTGTCATCGGCATATCAGTGGTAGGAGAAGCCATGTGATCGAATGATCTTAGCCAGTGAGGTGGTCTATATGGCGAAGAGAAGAGGTCCTAGTACAAAGTCCTGGGGTCTCCTGTAGCAAGATGGTGCACAGCAGAAGAGTGTCCAAGCCAAGATACACTGAATGATCATTCTGTGAGGTATGATTCAAACCAGGAATGTGATGCCCATGCTAGAGAGTATGGGCAAAAAGAAACCATGGTTGACGGGGTCAAATGCAGCAGATAAGTCAAGCAGGATAAGTACTGAGGATTTATCAGTCGCTCTAGCTTCTTTCAAGGCTTCTGTCACTGCTAACAGAGCTTTTTCAGTGCAGTGGCCATTTTTGAACCCAGATTTGTATGGGCCAAGCAGACAGTTTTGTGAGAGGTGCTCTTGTGAAAAGGCCGCCCTTTTGATGGTTTTAGACAAAACGGGAGGAGAGAGATAGGTTGGTGATTCTCCACATGATTTGGAGGACGGGAAGGTTTTTTTCAGCAGCAGTCTAACCTGAGAGGTGGTAAATGTACCAGATGTCAGTGAAGCATTAATCATGTGTGACTGCTGCAGCTACTGTAGGAGCAATAGATTGCAGCAGTTTAGTCGGAATGGGGTCAAGTGGGCATGTAGTAGGGCAGCTACACGTGAGAAGTTTGGACACACAGTTCTCAGTGAGAGGGGTAAATGAAGAAAACGATGCAGTAGGACTTCTGATGGTCGCGCTAGAAGTACATTTTTTAGCAAAGGCTCAGGAGTGGCCAGTTCAGTAGACTGCTTGCTTGTAACCAACACTTTGTCATCACTACCAGTGTGTGAATGGGTGAATGATAAACTCTAGTGTGAAGCACGTTGGAGTTCAGGTTGCAGGTCATCTATCATTTCAGGTTCAGGTAAACTTGCTTTGCCACAACAAATGAATCATATTTAGTCTGTTTGAAATCCGCTATACAAACGTGTGGTAAACCACAACATTTTACCACACGTAAACTAATTTATTAACCTTTACAAAGACACTCAGTAAGATAAACAAAAAAAACAAAAAAAACAAACACAAATCTAAAGAACATGGGTTTTATAAGACTATAGCCACTAAAACTTGTAAGTCGCTTTGGACAAAAGTGTCTGCTAAATACATAAAAATAAACATAAACATAAACATAAAACTCTATTACATCTTGTTCAACTCAACTTTCTAAAACAAAAGCTTCTTTGTTTGGGTTTGTCTGAACATGCAATCTCATGGTTCACAGACTACTGAAGGACAGAACTCAATGCGTTAAATGTGATGGGCTGTCCTCTGAATTTTTGAGTGTCCACAAGGGAGTACAACAGGGTTCCATTTTGGGATCCCTCTTGTTCATTATGTACATCAATGACATAAGACAAAAAGTGTTGGATGCTAATTTGCACTTTTACGCTGATGACACAATCTTTTACTGATTTGGAACATCCCCCACTAAAGCTGTTGAATTCTTACAGAAAGCTTTTAATGAAGTCCAACAAACACTTCTGCAGTTAAAGCTGGTCCTCAATGCTAACAAGGCTAAGCTAATGTTGTTTGTGCTGTCAGTGACCACTCTTGAGGGAAATATCATTGAGGTGGTCCACACATACAAATATCCTGATGTCTGGTTTGATGACTCCCTCTCCTTCAAGCCCCATATAGATAATCTATTATTAATAATAATAATAATAATAATAATAATAATAATAATAATAATAATAATAATAAATAAAAGTGTAAATTTAAAGTGTTTGATAAATAAACATAACTGAAATAAATCCTCATTAAATCTGAGTAAGATCAAGTTTAAGAACAGTGCTGACGAGGCAGCAGTTTGGGTGGGAGCGACCTTTGCCTAACCCTTTCTCCTCATTCAGAGCTGATAACTGTCTGTCTCAAGGACGCTGACTGGTTATCAATGATAGAATGAACAAAGCTTCTCTTCTTTTTTACTTGTCAGCTGATGGCCTTTAATCGATGACCTGCTGTTACAGGAGATCTAATCAATTTGTTCTTTTTCTGAGCTTATCTAATGGAGCAGTATCTTGTCGTCGCTGCATCCTCCGTCATCCAGCAGATATAGAACATAAAATCCTGGCAACTTTATTCATGAAACCCTCATCAAAGGGCCTCATCACAGATGGTCCTCTAAGAATGGATCAATAAAGATTATCAGCTGCAGCTAATTGGGCTGCAGGTTTGTAGATCAAGGTCAGCAGCATCTCAATCTGGAGCAGAGTCATGATAATAAACAGTTACAGACAGAAGATACAAGAAAATATTTTTTGGACTCCAACTGTCGGGAAATCTATTAATTTTAATGTGATTTTTATCACTTCCAAAATCCAGACCAGTTTTTGTAGATTTGCTAAAAACGTGTAAAAGTAACAACCTTATCAAGGTGAGAGACAGCAAACATACCGTAAATCCTCTAATACAGGCCGGTATTCAATTAAAGGCCGGGTCTCCAATTTTGGCCAGTGTCGGAGTCGGCAGAGGTGAATAAAGGCCGGTCTCCTATTGTGGCTGGGTGGAATGTGGTAACAAGCAAGTATGGGGGGCGGTTGTGTCATCGTCTCACTTTTGATTTGCCAGTGATAGACCGCGAGGGTAACTTTAACCATGCGGAGACGAAGAGAAGGCTGTGGTACTGACACGCGATCGTTCATGTCGGTTCATTTCCTTTAATGTTTTCTGTCTTTTATTTGCGCCTGATGCGTTTCGCTGCATGCTGTGGAGCGGGGCACATCACCTTGTCCTCGGGTGATGCACCAATCACTGATGCGGCCGCCAAGCACGGAGCACTCCGCTGTTTTTGCGGTCGGTAGATCTGCCTCCTGAGCACGGCCACAGTAACAATCAGGTGTCGCCACATTTAACATGCGATCGTCCATGTCGGTTCATTTCCTTTAATGTTTTCTGTCTTTTACTTGCGCCTGATGTGTTTCGCTGCATGCTGTGGAGCGGGGCACGTCACCTTGTCCTCGGGTGACGCACCGATCACTGATGCGGCCGCCAAGCACGGAGCACTCCGCTGTTTTTGCGGTCGGTAGATCTGCCTCCTGAGCACGGACACAGTAACAATCAGGTGTTGCCACCGCAAAAAATTATTTACCATGCGATCGTTCATGTCGGTTCATTTCCTTTGATGTTTTCTGTCTTTTATTTGCACCTGATGCGTTTGGCTGTGGAGCGGGGCGCATCACCTTGTCATCCGGTGATGCACCGATCACGCGGCCACCGAGCAGCGAGCACTCCGCTGTTTTTGCGGTCGGTAGTTCTTTTAGAACTGCATTTCAAAGGTAACTCATGAGGTGAATATATATGAACCCAGGTAGCAGTTTTTCTTTAGGATTGAGAGGAGATGCAGGAAGATAATAAACAGGCAGGACAGAAAAATAGTCAAATAAAAACAAGTTAGTTTTTGTACCTGGTGGTTGCAACAAACAGACACCATTGAAGGTAATCAGAAGTGAGGAACAGAAAATGAAATAATTATTTTAATGTTTAGAGCAGCAGGCGCATTAGTGAGTTTGCGGCTGCTGCGCAGGGGGAGGGGGGAGAGGACTGAAGCAGAAACTACTGTTGTTAAAAGAAATGTGTTTAACTTTGAAAATGTGGGCGCAATTTTAATTGTCAAAAACTCCAGCGAACCATTAGTTCATTTTGCTCAAATAGAAATAGAGGTCTGCCTCTAATACTGGCCCTCCTTCCAATAAAGGCCTGGAGCTTGATGAGCTTGAGTCAAATACAGGCCCAGGCCTGTATTAGAGGATTTACGGTATGTATTTATTTACAGGGACAATTTTATTGAGCCTGCATCCAAATTACATCAACTATGTAATAAACCTGAATCTGCATCAAACCTGTTAGAGTTTCAACTTCAGGTGGGCTGTGTGAGGAACAAGGAGCCACTACAGCTGCACTTCGATTTATTGGGGCAATAAGTCAGAGGGAGGTTTTAAAATTCAGCTCAGACAGCAGCCAGCGTCACTGCAGCAGGAATCAGTTGAGGTAAAATAAATAAATGTTAATTTGACTGATTTTTAATCATGAAAGCTTTATTATTTTCAAGCTAAAATTATTTGAAGGATTGCTTTCTAGTTTTGCATGTTTTATAAAAGTATTTTTAATGATAATTTAAAGTAGATAAGCATTTAATTCAGAATATTTCAAATGATTTTGGCTCTGATCCTTCTAATCCAAGCTAACATGTTGAAACATGTTTAAGATCAAATATGAATAGTAAAATAAGCTGTATATAGTGAATAATGGCTGTATTTTAAAGAGAAATTCCTGCCCTCTAGAGGAAAAAAGCTAAATTGCAACGCAGGCAGGGGTGCAACTACTTACTTTTAGAGGGGGTATGAAAACACATAACAGCCCTCCCTGACTTCACCAGACTATAAGTGCCTCTTGTTAAGCGTCTTTAAAAGATACTTGGAGCTGTTAAACCCCCCAAAGATTGTGCACCAGCACATTTACAAAGATGCAAACATGAAAAAAAGTCAGAGGTGAAGAGGATGAGAAGTATCCTACCACTCTAGAGGTTACAGGGGCATAACCCTACGGAAAAAAAGCTTGGACATTTTATATTTATATTTACACACAGGCTTCTATCTCAGAATCTGAAAGTATATTGATGAACTTAGAAGATTCTTGAAGACGAACATTTCAAAAAACAACAAAAAAAAAGCTCTTGAGGAATTTCTATTTTCCATTAATCCTGCAGACTTTTCATTGTTTTCCATGATGATTTTCCCTGTGTTTAGATGAGGTGTGGTGTCGTTGTCCTGACTCTTCTGCTGCTCTGCAGTCGAACTCTGCAGTCTGAACAGCCGTTTTACAACTCCCAGCTGCAGGAAGATCAAGAAAATCCCATCAGTGAGTCTAACTTAGATTGTTTTTATATCTGTATTGATATTCCTGGAGAGAAAATTGTAAGCAGCCTGCTTTTATTTTGTTGTGCTCGGTCCTGTTCAACATCTACATGAAAGCTTGTATATAATGTTGATAAAGACGTTTTATAAGGATTTATAACTACATGTTTTGTTTTGAACAGTTTTTGAGCTTTCTTTTAAGTGTCCTTGTCTCCTTTTCCAGAACAATGGCTTGACCCTTCACTTGAAAATGTAGCCCCCTCTCAGGAACTCTCTATTCCTCCAAAAATCAGAGAGATGCCTGCTACAGAATTGACTTCTCACTCCTTCCCCATGTTTAGTGAACACGTCAACCTCAACTGGGTCATGTGGAACGGTTCCCTTCCAGACGGTGCTGTCGCCATCTTCAACGGTTACGCTGAACGCACTGACTATGTGTGCAAAGTAAACTGTGAGGCTGGTTTCTACACCCCTTCTAAAGGGAGCTTCTGCCAGTACCCCTATGCTGAAAAGGAATATGCATCCACCAAGTTTGAAGTGCTGGTGAATGTAGACCATTTTGAGTTCCTAATGTGGGTTGAAGACTCCTATGGATCCGTTCCACAGTATGCAATCAAAACCTGTCCCAGCTCAGACATCTACGTGGGCAAAAACAAGTACGGACTTGGCAAAGTGGTGACTCGACACAAAGCCTTCTTCCTTCCCTGGGAGGGTGATGAGTACTGGTATAAGAAGTACCAGGTCCTAGCCATCAATAGAGACACCTACAGCCAGCACATCTCTCACGTGGAGTATGCCATTGATCAGATGGAGCTATTCCACTATCCTCCAGAAGCCCTGAAGCTCACTAAGGTCACCAATCTGGAGTGCCAAAATGTGGAGAAGACTGTGATGCTGGAGAAGACCACCACAGTGGAGAAGTCTTGGGACATTGGCAGGGAGACCCGAAATGGATCTGTGTCTACCATGAAAGCTAAATTACCCATCCTTGGTCCAGGGAACGTGGACTTCACCAAGGAGCATACCGTGACCTTCTCAGAGGGGACTACCATGGTAGAGTCAATCAGTCACTCAGTGTCTGTGGAACTGGTGGTCCCACCAAACCACTCCTGCAGCGTGAGGATGGACGGCAGGAAGATGACAGCAGACATCCCGTTCACAGGCAGGCTGAGCAGGACCAACAATAACGGAGAAACCCACTGGACCTACATCACTGGCACCTACGATGGTGTGAGTGTTGGGGAGGTCAATGCTGTGGTAGAGAGGTGTCAGCCTGTGCTGGATGCTCCTTCCTGTCCTCCAACACAGTGATCAGCTCATTGAATTTGTTTAAGGTTGAACTCCGTGAAATAAAATCCAACAAAAAAAAAGTATGCCTTTGTTTTTTTCTATCCCTTTAACCTGCTGGTCAGCTACTTGGTGGATTACATTTAAATGTTCATATACTTCTATGAAGCATGCAGTTAACTAAACTTATCCAATAAAATAGTTAAACAAATAATAAATGACCTGCACTTGTATAGTGCTTTTCTGAGTCAGAGGACTCCAACACAATCATTCATCTATAAACACACACATTCACACACTGATGGTGATGTAGCCACAACTACCCTGTTTAATAAATGTAAACCTCAGAGTGCCTCAGATCACCGGTTCTTCCTCATATTCTACAATTTATTTGATGCTGAAGAGCACCTGAGAGTGAGACATAAGTTTTTTCAAATATTCCCCATGGATGCTCTCACTTCCACCTGTTTTTGATAATTTTATTCATTTTTCATAGAATAGATTAAAAAAAGATCAATAAAATAAAAAGTTCAGTAACATTAAAAATAATGAAAAGCATCACTGCACATGGCAGAGGAATATTGAATGTGAAAGTTGCACTATTCTTAATTCATGCATCAGAGGGTTACGTTGCTTTGTGTGTGTGTGTGTGTGTGTGTGTGTGTGTGTGTGTGTGTATTTTCTCACAGAAGAAGAATCCAACACCAGCAGACTCAGTGCTCCACTCCAACAGCCTGAAGAGACACCATCATCAGCTTCAACAGATGTCTGTGAACATGTAGGAGCTGCTGGCCCCATGGATCCTGCTGACTGGCCACAGCAGTTGAACAAAATGGAAAGTAGAACTTTCTTTATGATGACACTTTGATATTTGAGTTTTGCTTTTGATTGCACAGTTTAATGTTGCTTTTGATTTTGCATCCCCCCCCCCCCCCCCCCCCCCCAATGACATTTGCACAACATTTTGAGTTGTTGGTTATTGTAATATTCTCAGGTTACTTATCTTTCAAGCTTACATTTATTCTTCAGGCTGTTGACTTTAAAGAGCTGCTGTGTGAATATTTGAAATAAAAAATTAGTAACTAAGGAATAACTGTGGAGTTGCTTTTTCCAATGTGTGGTGGGTGGGTGGACTTGGGTTTGGGTGAGAGGCGGGGTGGGGGTGGTGGTGGAGGGTGGGGGGTGTGGGGGGGTGGGGCAAATGGGCATTCTCGCCTTGGGCACCAAATTACCCAGAGCCGGTCCTGGTCCATTCCTTAATGCTTTAGCCAACAGATATAAAGTCATGTGTGATAAATGCAACAAGATTTATTACAAGTACACATTAGAAGTTTTTTGTTGTTTTTTCTTTTAATAAAAGGAACTGAAACTGGTTTGTTTCAAAACAGGACAGAATAGTTATTACAGCGCTAAGTTCACATTTTCTTCACAAAATGCCTCAAGATCTGGCTGCAAACGTAAAAAAACATACTTAGTGAGGAAACAGTTTGCTGCTTCATCGTCATCTTCCTCCGATTATCCGGGTCTGGGTCGCGGGAGCAGCATCCCAACTAGGGAGCTCCAGACCGTCCTCTCCCCGGCCTTCTCCACCAGCTCCTCCGGCAGGACCCCAAGGCGTTCCCGAACCAGATTGGAGATGTAACCTCTCCAACGTGTCCTGGGTCGACCCGGGGGCCTCCTGCCAGCAGGACATGCCCAAAACACCTCCCCGGGGAGGCGTCCAGGAGGCATCCTGACCAGATGCCCAAACCACCTAAACTGGCTTTTTTCGATCCGGAGGAGCAGCGGTTCTACTCCGAGTCCCTCACGAATGTCCGAGCTCCTCACCCTATCTCTAAGGCTGAGCCGAGCCACCCTACAGAGGAAACTCATTTCGGCTGCTTGTATCCGCGATCTCGTTCTTTCGGTCATTACCCAAAGCTCATGACCATAGGTGAGGATTGGGACGTAGATCGACCGGTAAATTGAGAGCCTGGCTTTCTGGCTCAGCTCCCTCTTCACCACGACAGATCGGCTCAGCGTCCGCATCACTGCAGATGCTGGACCAATCCGCCTGTCGATCTCCTGATCCCTCCTACCCTCACTCGTGAACAAGACCCAAGATACTTAAACTCCTCCACTTGAGGTAGGACTTCTCTCCCGACCCGGAGTTGGCAAGCCACCTTTTTCCGGTCGAGAACCATGGTCTCAGATTTGGAGGTGCTGATCCTCATCTCAGTCGCTTCACACTCGGCCGCAAACCTACCCAGCAAGAGCTGAAGGTCAGAGCTGGATGAAGCTAGGAGGACCACATCATCCGCAAAAAGCAGAGACGAGATTCTCCTGCCACCAAACTTGACACACTCCACACCACGGCTGCGCCTAGAAATTCTGTCCATAAAGGTAATGAACAGAACCGGTGACAAAGGGCAGCCCTGGTGGAGTCCAACCCTCACCGGGAACAGGTCCGACTTACTACCGGCTATGTGGACCAAACTCACGCTCCTCTGGTAAAGGGACTGAATGGCTCTGAACAGAAAGTCACCCACCCCATACTCCTGGAGCATCCCCCACAGGGTGCCCCTGGGGACACGGTCATAAGCCTTCTCCAAATCCACAAAACACATGTGGATTGGTTGGGAAAACTCCCATGCCCCTCCATCACCCTTGCAATGTTTGGGGGTTGCCACCACGACTGGCACCGGCCACCTTGCAACCACAGCTAGCAACAGCCGCCTCAACAATCGCAGAGTGGAACAAGGCCCACTCGGAGTCAATGTCCCCCACTGCTCTCGGGACTCGGTCAAAGCTCTTCCGGAGGTGGGAGTTGAAGACCGTCTTAACAGGTTCTTCTGCCAGGCGTGGCTTCACCAACGAACATCGTCTCCTACATACTACAAATGAGAGACAAACTGGAAACATACAGGAAACAGGTTAAAGACCACATGCAAAAGGTACAACACAAACAAAAGTTATGGTATGACAAACATGCCCGTGAAAGAGAGCTGAAGACGGGCCAGAAAGTTTTAGTGCTTTTGCCTACTGGACCAAGTAAGCTATTAGCTAAATGGCAAGGGCCCTACACGGTGGGTAGAAAAACGGGTCCAGTGACATATGAAATTATCTGTCCAGACAAACAAAAATCAAAGCAAGTACTTCATGTGAATCTGTTAAAAGAATACCATGAGAGAAATGTCTCAGGACCAGCTCTGAAGCAGATTCTGATGGTTCAAGCACTTCAACCAGAAGCTCTGACCACACAACCAAGAATGACAACTGAAGTTGTGTTTGTATTAGGGCTGCATGGTGGCACAGTGGTTAGCACTGTTGCCTCGCAGCACGAAGGTCGCAGGTTCAAAACTCGGCTGCGGCCTTTCGGCGTGGAGTTGCGTGTTCTCCCCATGCATGCGTGGGTTTCCTCCGGGCACTCCGGTTTCCCCCACAGATCACAACATGCCCTATAGGATATAAATTGTAAGTCGCTTTGGATAAAAGCGTCTGCGAAATAAATAAACGTAAACGCTCAAAAGCCAGGCCACCTCTCACTTAGGCCCACACCTCAGTTATTACCCCAGTCCATTCTCTACCAAAACAGCATTCCAGGAATCTGTTTGCGTTTATATTTTCCGGCAAAACGCTCAAAACCCAAATTTAACCCCTGGTCACCTAGGATTTTCTCTCGGTACCACAAGACAAAGCGACAAAAAACAACAAACTTGTCTCACCGAATCTCTCTCCACTCAGGGCTCGAGTAGTTCGTGGATCCGCATTCCTCTTAACGACGTCAAGGCCTTACCGACCCCCCAGCAAACTCAGCGCTGGAGATTTAGGTTGTCGACAGTCCTCCGGCGTTGGCTCTTGGCGCCGCGAGATGACGGGACCCCAGCTTTCGAAGGACCAAATGTCATGGATTTTATCAATATGTTTATCAATAACCCATTCCCTAGAGTGAAGATTGAAGGAGACAATGAGCAGACAAGTCAACCAGTTATAACGGTGGCAAATGCCGAAGCAAATGCCTCAAACATCTGTTCACAGGGTTTATTTATAGAGAGAGATCAGAAGTAGAGAGTGTAACAGAGGAAACTCTGTTACTAGTGGCTATTTTTACATTTCACACCATGGTGTTAACTGAAATCCTAGCAGCAATGATTGATACAAGTCTTATTTTAAAAACTGTTTATTTCTTTGTCTCTTTGTCCAAATGTTTGTCTGACTGATTGGTTCCAGCTGGGGGGGAGGAATGTTTGGTTCCACCTAAACAGGACAGAGAATATTCAGTCAGTTTTACCATGGGCAGTAACTCTTTGACAGTAATATGTTCTGTGTGTGGACTGTATTTTAAATAGGTAAATGAACCTAACTTACCTGTATTGTCTTCTCCAGGGTGTCCTGTTAAGGGTTTCCCCTTCTTCTTCTTCTTTTGGTGTTTTATTGGCGGTTGGCAAACAACGAATGGCGCATTACCGTCACCAACTAGTATGGAGTGTGGTCTGGAACAGCGCTCACAAAACAAAACAAAACAGGGAGAAAAAAAAAGAAAGAAACCTCAAAGTCTCCCAAACACCCTTATGTCTTTCAAAAACCGAAATAAAATCTGAAAACAGTCACTTTTTGAATTCTGTCTCAATAAATCAACAAGATCCAGTTTAAGGGTTTCCACTGAAACATGGGCATCATTTTAAAGGTTCTGGGAGGAGCCATGAGGCAGAGTGGGAAGGGGTGTTTGGGAATTGCATTTTGGATGTTTATGATGTTAAGATGTTAATTGTAGATATTTTTATTGTTGTGATGGCTTCGTATGGGTTTTTAGGATTTGATTATGTAGAAGGGAGTGTAATGTTTTAGGATTTGATTTTTTAGAAGGGAGTGTAATTATTAAAGATGCACTATCACATGGTTTAGTCCAGAGTACTGATGAGTTCCATAGTATAAAAGGAGCCATTGAACATCTGTACTGTTGTTGATGGTCAGAGCTCTGCAAGCATGTGAGCACTGGTGTAAATAAAAATGGGAAACTACTCCATCTAAGACTCCTCTGCATCATTTGTGCTGCTCCGCCTCCTACCACTACCCGGTCCAGTCTACAAGTGGTGTCAGAAGACTT